CCTTTAGTGTGTATATATCTACATATGGATTATTTAGTTATTGTTGAATTAATTAGGATGTATACGTGTATCGGGTCTCTGTTTGGGATGTAGTAGATTAGAACGTATTTGTGGGCTTGACCTACCATTATTTTTCAGATATTCATCAGTTCCAGTCTTAGAAATTGTTCGTGCCAAGCAGAAACAGTCATTCACTCTTCCGACTCTACGTAGGACTCTTCTTCATGGTTTAATTATTAGTTTTATTTCAGTTCAGTTATTTCAGTTAGGATATTATTAGAGGTCCACAATATGGATTCCCGAGTTGTGGTTTTAATTAATTACTGGTATCCGAGGATTGGAGAACTTTAGTATGGGATTTTTAATTACTATTTAGTTTTCTTTTCAACTTATCTATTTATTTTTAATTCATCTTGTATTCCAATGCTTGTTTAAATATTAATTGTTTGATATCCCTTGTATTCTGTGCTCGGACTTGATCACCCGTGACTCTAGAATTGAGGGGTATCACACCATTAACCATGGAGCCAGCTTTACACATGAGCGAGCCGGCTCCCCATCACATGGAGCCGGATCTTTGCTTGAAGAAGCCATCTCCCACTTCCATGGAGCCGGCTTTCTCCCTCTCTGAGAGCCCTAAACCAAATCCACCTGTTTTACTCATTCATCCCCGTCTCCGGCAAGTTTCCAACTCTTTTGTTCTCCATTAATAATGATCCTAAAAGTCCGAACTCTATCCCAAATCATTTCAATAACTTATATAAATCAATTATGCATCATTAATAACAATAAAATAATTAATCATGTCATATACTTCAAGATCAATTAATTGTAATTTAAGTTCACAAAACTTGTTTTACATCAGAATAAACATGAACAGAAGATTAATTTAAAACTCAACTAATTCCTGGAAACTACCTAGGCATGCACAGAACACAAGTCTAAGGGAAGGAGTAAGAAAAAGAATTTGCCTTTGAGATTTCGGATTAAAACCTCAACGTCTCTTCCTAGATTTTTCGGCAAACCTTGACTGTTCTCAACTCCTCTGTTGCCCTAGGTTCAACCCACGAACAAGCTTTAATACCCTCTCCTTGGTTCAGTCCTTGCCCTTAGCCAAACCCTAATTCGTCCTCTCAGTTCTCTCAAACCTCTTTATATGTGAATAAGGTTTTGTTTCTAACCCTTGGCAGACTTATAATGATATATTTATAGGCCATATAAATTTAACCTAATTCTAATTACTTAAGGGAAAGGAAAAGAAAAATAAAATAAATACCTAATATATATATCGGCACCCTACTCAAAAATAAATACCTAAATACCTAATAAATAAACCATTAATTATTTAATATATAGTATATACTGAAAACACTATTACTGTAACTATTAATTATAATTAATAATTAACATAATCTTATATACATATATATCCAAATATATATGTATGATCGTTCATGGGTAATAACTATAGCCATTTAATCTATTATTCACGTAATCCAAACTATCCAAACCCAACTCCTTGAAATAAAATAAACATTTAATTTAAACAATGAATTACTACTAAACACTTAAAATCAATTAATCAATTTAATCAAATAAAATAATTAGTTCATTTTCCACATAAGCATAAAATTCAATTAAACAATTAGTTAGATAATCAAATAATGAATTTAAAAATGCAATTACTACCATAAAATAAATACCGAGACTATCCTTTTAAAATTAGGGATATTACAAAGTGGCGATTGACCGCCTGTATAGTTTGGTCTATGTGGTTCACGCATGAAGAAGATGTACAGTGTGATATTCTCCCAAAACTATGTAATCGTTTTTTACAAAAATAAATAAATAAAAATAAAATTTCCAAAAGAAAAAAACCCCAAAACTACTTTTAAGGGTAAATTTATCTTTTTCATTTTTCGATGACGGACACGTGACTCAATGTCCTTGACCGCAACATATTGTTAGTTCAAGTTTTTTTTTCAGGGGTTTTCTTGTAAAAGGGCATTAGTTTAAACCCATGCATTACCAAAGGGTTCAACCATTCAAAAAGAAAATTAAATAATAATAATAGTAAACCCATGCATTTTGGGTTTGATCCAACCTGACTGCCCACTTGAGGCCTGGTTTCTTTTCATTTTAAGTGACCACTAGGTGCACAAAAATGGAGTTTACACATAACACACACTCAAAAGAAAACTGAAACTACTAGGATTCTATCTAAGGCGCTCTGAGATTGACAAAATCTTGAGAGGTCCTGGGCAAACTTAAATGTGAAGCCCTTTAATTACTGAAATACACACTAGCATACACATAAAGTAGTAAAGGGCCATATTTAATTTCAAATTTAATCACCAAATTTTTATGGGCCTTAATTTTGAATGGGCTGTGAATTCGTTTAATCGAAGGGCTCTAAGTTTTTTTTTCTTTTTTTTTGGGCCGATCACTCAAGGGGCCTAAGTATTTTTCTTTTTATCTAGGCTATCACTCATGGTAAGGGGATTAAGAATTTTTTTTTTTTTTTTTTTTTTTTTTTGAACGTATCACTAATGAGCCTAAAAATTTTGAGGCCCTCTAAATGTTGAGGCCCTAGGCAACCGCCTTGGTCTCCTTGGGCCACCGCCGGCCTGATTCTATCAATTGTACTTTTTTCCTCTCTACATTGCAAAAAAACTTGGAACATGTAAATGGAATCCTTAGCAACTCTTTTATGACAGCCATGGATGAGCTTTTAATGGGCTAACCTAGGCTATAGCCCAGGTCCATTTTATAAAAAAAAAAAAAAATTAGTACTACTATTCTTATCAGCTTAGTCCATATGTAATCAATTTTTAGTACTACTCTTTCTCTTTCTATCAGCCCAATCCAACCCAATTCATAGTATTACTCTTCCTATCAGCCCAATCAATATGTGATATGTAATCAATTTTTACTGCTCTTCTTATCAACCCAATCCATATGTGATATGTAATCAATTTTTACTGCTCTTCACCCACTTCCTCTCAACACGCGGTGGTATTTTCCCTCATAGGGTTTGGCCTTTTTGGGGTCTAGTAAGGAAATTGCAGAGACTTAAGAGGGGGTCCAATTTCTCTTCTTTTTTTAACAAATATAGATAAAAAAAGAAAATACGGAGAAGAAGAAGAATCTCTCTAAGATCAGGAAACTCTATTTACAGGTAATTTTTAATTTTTATCCCAAAAACTTGATTTGATATATGAGAATATCATCGTTTTTTGGTCTATTTTTTAATATATATAACATATCTTTATTATAAGAATTATTGTGTTTATCTTCAAATTTTCTTCTTATTTTTAACTCCCTATTTTGCAATCTTGGCTCCGCCTCTAAACACAATCATATATATATATATATATATATACACCTTTCATTTCTTTTGTCTTTGTTTTATGGGAGTCCCGATGGAAGTGTCAGTTATGAAATTAAATTTCGGGCCCTTCTAATTAAAAGGCGACTCTGCAAGCATCTTGTTAATTCTCTTTATTTATTTATTTATTTTGGTAAATACATTTCTTTTATAAACATTAAATGCATTTTATTGTTAAAATCCTAATTTATCATTCCTGGTATCAAATTCTACAAAAAGATTTTGTAATTGAAATTAACATATGAAAGACTCGGTACTAAAAAGCTATCTAACACCATTGTCAGAAATGGTAATTTAAAAAAAAAGAAAATGTCCTACCGTTATATTGTTTATATTATTAGTGAGTGAATTATTAAAATACCTAGTTACGTGATATAAAGTGCGAATTTAATGCTTGTCGAATAAAGCTATAACGGCATAAAGATTCAAGAATACACACGAAAAAAATAGTCCTGGATCATCTACAAAGGTCAACGATATTTTATGTATCCCACATCATCATTCTAAAGTATTTGGAGATGGATATGGTTTACCAATTGGCATATACCCTGTGGTATAACCTCCCTTCTCAGGAGGGTTCGTACCTTGATGTGGACAAAATATGTACGCGAGTTGTGGTTCTTATCAATGTATAAAATAATTTTTTTTTTTTTTTTTTTTTTTTTTTTTTTTTTTTTTTTTTTTACGGTCTACTAAAGAAAGAAGGAAATAAATATAGGATATAGTTTCAAATTCTAGTAAGATATTCATCTCATTTTTGAATATAAAAAGAGAATTGTCACAGAAAAGGATTCAGTCACAGAAGCAATGTTGTAATTTGTCTATTCTATTTTTCAAAAGAGTAATTTTTCAACATATTAAGGCTTCATTTGTTTGGTTGTAAAAAAATTTCAAATTTTTTTAATTTTCTATTTTTTTTTTTTTTTTTTTTCTAGCGTTTAGTTATGTAAAAATTTATGAAGAAAAAAATATTAAAACATAACAAAAATAACTTAACCATCAGTTTTTAAAATTTATTTTACACATTTTACATAATAAACTTAACCTCAAACCCAAACCCAAACCCAAACCCAAACCCTTGCTAAACATCCAAAAAGCAAAAATAAAAAAATATATATTTTACTTCGAACTAAAATATCAAAAATATTTTACGTAGAAACAAAGTCAATTTTGGGGGTTGCCATGTTCATGATACCAACATCACCACTGGTCAATGTCACAACCTCAAGACCAGCCATTGATATACGATGTATGCCAAGGGATTTTTTTGGCATGACAACCAACAATCCAAGGGTTGAAATCTGAGCCCATTTGAAGCTTAAAGCCTTAAACAATTCACCCAGAAAACTCAATTTTCAAAAAAATATATATAATAAAAAATAAAAATCGAAATAAATAGCTATTAATAATAGCTCCATGTAGTTCAGTCCACACACCACTGCAGATTTTTCTAACCATGCTCCTTTAATTTATATGTCATGTTTCTGATATCAGAATATTTCCTAATAACATTTTATAAAACCATACTGTACCTATGAAACCCACACACCAAAAGGATCTGTCAAGCATATCACCTTGATTATGGTAAGAAATTCAGAAAATACCCACGAAATTAAGCAAAAACTCGAAAGTTTAAACTTTAACAACTGAAAATATGCTGCTCTAGTTTTTCGAAATGGATCCGCACAAATGCTTTACAAAATCATATTTCTCCCATAAAGAAAAAAGTCGAGATTTCAGAAGAGTTGGACCAACTCTGGCAAGCAAGATGATTGGATAACAAGTGCTTAAATAAAATCACGAAGATGAAGGTTTAAGTGCACATTAGGCACGTGGAGATCGAGAGAGTTGGCATCTAATAATGAGGAACAAATGGTCTGGATTTATATTAGAAAAGCAAATAACAGAATCAAATGCAGAGTAAAAATCACAAGGATGAAGCTTTCTCATCCAGAGAATCTCGAACTGCCTTCAAGAGTGATGGCATCAACTTCTGGTTGGTAACAATTATCCCGGTCTCCAAGTCAAGATATTTTCCCTGGGAAAAATTCAAAGGATTCCCCGCAGCATCCAAGACCACACCCCCCGCTTCTGTAATAGTATAAAATAGCAATAAAATATATATATTATTGACAATAAAAAGCTCAATTTCAATACAGCGCTAACATGACAAAGTCGCAGCATATTGATGCCAATCACAGTTTAATATTAACGTGTTGAACAAGATGCATATATTCTTGGAATTTTAAAAATGGTTAGTGTTTTATTCAACTAAATGAGCCGGGCAACCATAAAATTGGAGGATTAATGTAAACAAATGCATAAGATAAATAATGCATCCTAGAGCCCAATCAAGGGATGAAACTAATGGCATAAGGAATAAAGATTATCTATGTTCTGATTCTACGGTATATACTGAATCAATTATTCTGCCTAGCAGTCGTATCATGACACATTACCAGAAATCAAACTTCTTTGATAAGGTTTCAACTTGAAAACCTTTTTTCCGGTTTGACACTAAAAAATATAAGCTGTTCTACTTCATCTTCCATACTCGTTGCTTAAATAATTGACGACCTTTCTAAGTATTTCACAACCTTCATCAAGAGGTGTTGTTAGTATAGGATAACTGTATGCATTAAGAAGGGTGTGCTTGGATATGGCATGAAAATAGAAATCAGTCTACTGTGAATTATACATCTGAAGTAAGTCCATTCGTTTTTTACATCACTGAAAATGTTTTAATTTCTATAGCAAACAGAATCATTATGAACTCCAGAAAATGGTACATTCAATTTAGTACCATCAATTAAAAAAAATAAAATAAAAATGGTCTTGGCTACACAGATATCACAAACCGGAACATTTCCATTTCAATGAGACACCGTTAGTCTAAATACCATGACCCTGTACACAGATATCATAAAGAAACTTTTATTTCACTATATTATGGTTGAAATTGGTTGCGTTTCAGCAAAAAGTTGCTTTAAACTTTTCTGGATGGAAGAATTCTAAAAAAACACACACTATAAAATTATAATTGGAATGATGACAATGAGGAGGAGGAGACAGACTGTTCCTCTACTCCCAAGTGGTTTCTACAAAAAATATAATTTGAAGGCCCAAATTAGTTCCTGATTTGCAGCAAATAACAACCTACTAAAACAGCTCAAGTAGCTTAATAATGACATATTTAGTTAGCAATTTAATTTTTGTACATATGAACAACAATTATGCACAAGCTTTTCTCCAACCTAACTTAGAGAGGATAAAAGAAGAGAGAACAAACTACAAGAGTATATTTCTTGTACCTGTCACAACAATGGATCCAGCTGCATGGTCCCATATTTTCTCACGGTATCCTTTATGAGGAAAACGCAGATATATGGATCCATCTCCTCTGGAAAGAGCACCATACTTTGCCTGGCTGTCAATTCTAACCGGTGGTGCTTTGACACCGAGTTTCTGTTTGGGAATAAAGAATAAGGAGCTCGCTACATAAGAACTAGCATTATGTGTTTTTCTATATATACACATAGAGAGAAAAAAGAGACCAAGAGAAAAAAGGGACCAAGAATACTGAACCTTCGCAATAGAGCTAGACAAGTCGTGCAGTGAGTGTGCTGCTTCAAATGATTCAAAGAATGACGCTTCTTCAGGGTTATCTTTAGTGCTGACATGCACCTGAAGGGTACCACTACATGAGAATTAGGATAGAAAGTTAATTGAATAGTGTATCTAAGCATCCACCTTTATTGGTGAAGAGCCATTTAGAGACTGCATATAGGTCCCAGCACCAACTTCAGCAGAGAAAAGACAACCAACTTTGTCCTCGGAAGATTGCTGTCCATGGCTACCAATGGATGATAGAGGAAGATTTGGACAAGCAAGGACACCCAAAACTACTTTCCCTTCATCTAACAATGCTAATGCTATTGCATATTGGTCTCCCCTTACAAACCTACAGAACAATCATGCAAGCATAAGCTGCAAGTGGTGTGCTATTGATCATTAAAGAACAATCTGAAATACTCAGTTAGGAAGTCAGTTAACAAAGAAATTCAGAAATTAGTAATTAGATACAGAGTACTGTGGAAGACAAATCACAAAAAGGCGAAACCTAAAATTCAAAGAAATTTAACAGTTAAACTATAACCACCCCAAATCTGATCCAAACAAAAACAAAGATTGCAAAACCTTATACATTAATGTTAAAAATAGAAAAAGCTTCAATATGTCAAAAACGGTAAATGATGATATGTAATTGGAATTTTTCAAGTACATTAAAATATGAATTAATATAAAAATAAAAAATAAAAGTCATATATAAGAATAATTTTGTGAGCAAAAGGGGAAAAATAATAAAATTATATGCACGGGTCAATGGGTTATGTACGGGTTGATCAACCCATTTAATACCCAACCCACTTATGACCCTTATTGGGGGGATGATAATGGGCTACTTACCCATTCATGATTTGCCGACTTAGGATTCACCCAAACCCACCCAATTGCCACCCCTAGGCGAGAGCAGTTTTCATAAATAGGTGGGACCAATCTCATTGAATGATGCATTTTTCTTGAGTGGGAATATAACGATGACGTGGTATGCCTGAGGCACCCAATATCTTCTACGGCATCACAACTTAGATATGATTATTTTACAATAAAGGGATTTATTTATTGACATGTATTAGTTACATTCTGTAAGTGCTAAATTATATTGCCTTATGTAATTTGTATAGAGGTTGGATACTTTGAGATGCAAGGGATGTTTGACAGTTGAAATTCATAAAGGTTGTTAATGATTTCGTAAATATATATCTATTTGGAGGAATATCAATGCGATTGAATTTGTGGAGAATATGAAAAATATGTGGTTTATTAAGATAATATGAAAATTTATTCCATAATTTTGATTCAATAATTTAAATTTTTTTTTTTGTTATACATGTGTTTTATGATGTCATGTTAAAGGTTATACGACCCATTCACTAAATTGGTTACATGGATCGTGTTATGTTACATATTTAATAAATGGGGTCGTAATCGTGTGACTCATGTCAAGTTTATTCGGCCCATTTATCAAACGAGTTGTGTTCGGGTTGACCCAATAGTAAAATGCCCTTATTTCAATATGCCGCTCTTACACAAATTGCCACCCCTAACTTAGATCTACACACCAACCCAACAAAATACCATGACACAATCTGCTGTGTGTGTGTGTGTGTGAGAGAGAGAGAGAGAGAGAGATTTTTTCAGTTCCTCTCCTTCCCTAATTACACCTTAAAGGCCACTCGACAAAACAGAGCGCTTATATAAGAATCAGATTTAGAATATCACTCTAACTCCAATACAAAACACAATAGATAAGTAAGAAGTGAAGGTTATCCTAAGTATTAGACCATGTGAGACGGTTTCAAAGGATTGAAGTCATTGAGGTAAAATCATTGATGCAAGAATAGAAGCTTTCAATGCTGAGTAATCTTCATAGTGCTACCTTTTATGCGGAATATATGATGATGATAAATTCTACTATTCAAGAATAATTAATGGATACTAGCCATGAATACTCCAAACTCCTCCAATGGTTTACTTCCCAATCTTGATCTTCTAGACTGCAAACCGACGCAAGCTCCCCAACAAAGTAATGCAGCACATTTTTTAATGTTGCGTCTCAAAAAGCTCAGGAAGTTCTCCAACACTATAGTACCGATATAGCTCAATTGAAAGTGTAGTAAATCATGTAATACATACAGGAAGCAAGGAACAAATTCTGTATTCTATACCTCAAAATTTTTTTAAGAGAGAGATCCTGCCAAATTCAAAAATTTAGTTTCCCAAAAATAAAGATATTAAGATTATATTTGGTTCTAGTTCTTTCAAAGGCACACATTTGCATGCATCAATTTGACTTGCTACTTGGTACAAGATTAAAATTCTAACCTATTTGCGTGAACCTGATGCCCCATTTCAAGCTTCCTGAACTAGCTCCATTCTCAAAATTAACCCAAAAGTTCCCAATATTAAACTTCAACATATTAGCTACCAATGTACTTCTACTTCTAGTGTTCTAGTGCAGTATATAAACATCAGGATAACAGTATCACAAACACATAAGATTATTCATTGTACAAAGAGCACTGTATATTATATTTATTTATGTTACTATATGTGCACGGAGATCAGATGCAAGTGGTACCAAAATAGCTGCATCTATCCATCAAGTAGCATCAATATGCATACATGCTCCTTCATGTAAAGCATCATGCAGCAGGCAACATTATATGAAAGCACTACCAACTAAACAAACTAAAACCATTTAAATAGATCAGGGATGGGAAAACAATAAGCCAAGTCCACTTCTAAAATAATCCTATGTACAGAGGTATGTCTAAGGGCTAATCAAGAAGTTTTATATATCTTTAATTTTTGTAGTTCTTGCTCCATTGCATTGTTGTCAACATGAATAATTACATTTACATTATACTGTATGTATGCTAAGTTTTGAAAAATCAACAGCCTATATTTAACAAAATCACCTGATTCTTGTATTGCAAGACACATAAAAATGTTTCACAATCAAAGCACAAGCACTAATATTTAATTAATGGGTCCAAAGCTTACCCTTTAGTACCATCAATGGGATCCAAAACCCAATGTCGACCATGAGAACCCCCTTCTGATTTGCCACTGTCAATGGCAGCAAGCACATCTTCGGCAGATAAAGGAGAAATATTGTATGTTCCATCATTGGCAATAGTTTCATTCACAAGCTTCGTAATGCGTTCTAGTGTTTCTTGGGCACCTTCCTTGCGAAGATCTCCTGAATCCTAGAGACATTTAACAGTACAAAATTAGATTCTTTACTTCTAATGGGAAAAGAGAAATTGCTTTTACATGCCTCTGAATATTATACAAATAATTCATCAACAAAACGAAAAATCAACTGAAAAGTTGAAATATTTACCTCCTCAGCAACTAACGAGAATGACTCGGAAGGAAGTTCTCTCTCCAGCACAAAGCTAACTAGCGCTTGTGAGCCTGAGATCAGATAGAGGCAAAATGACAAAGCAGTAACTAATTTGCAGTTTCTTCTGTATTTTAACAAAGAAGCTGATAAAAGTCTCACAACTATAAAGCAGTAACTAATTTGAAGTTTCTTCTGTATCCATGCTTGAAAGAAGAGGAAAATTGGAGAAAAGATAAAGCCCATGTCAAGAATTTTCAGTAACCTTACAACCAAATTTCTTGCACAAAGATCACTAAATACAGCACAAAAATTCCATGCGGAACAAGCAGCAAAAGTTTCATAGCATGGATCATGTGGTTTTTAAATACCAGAATATCTTTGTCAAAAGATGAAAAGCTTTTAGAGTCACGAAAGACCTTTTACGTTCCCATAACATTGATTTTTATATTTTTTAAATAGATTAAGGTGTAAGAAAAGAATAAATCGATGACTAATATAAAGATTGGTTGCAGAAAGATAGAAACTCATGTTATGTGTGCTAGGCAAGTCAAACTCAGTCATCCAGGCATCTTGAGGTGAGGAAAGCAAAGAAGAATCAAGATGAAATGGTATAAGACATGCATGTGGCAATTTTTCTTATGACAACTTTTGTATCATCCCACATCGTCTAGGGAGAGTGGTTGTTGGCACTTATATGTGCGGACGCCTCCTAATTGTGTAAACGCGTATTGAAAACCGTGAGCACGGAAAGTACACAAAGCGGACAATATCTACATGGATAGGGTGAGTCGTGACAAAAGGTATCAGAGCCAATCCCCAGCTAGAAATGGGGGTAGCTTTCACAAGCCCATGTGGATCAGGCCAGCGAGGATGTTGGGTCCCAAGAGGGGGTGATTGTAACGTCCCACACATCACTTGGGGAGAGTGGTTGTTGGCACTCACATGTGTGGACACTTCCTAACTATGTAGACACGTTTTGAAAACCATGAGCATGGAGAGTGTGCAAAGCGGGACAATATCTACACGGATAGGGTGTGTATATCCAATTTTTCACAATTTTACCTCTAAACCAATTGCGCCTATGTTACAAAAATCACAAATGTTTTCAAAAAATTCAAATCAAGATGCTACGCGAAGGGAAGGGCACTTGGAAACATTTATTAGCTGCTATCTCATCTAGTTTATGCAAACAAGTCCAAAACCACCAAGATCATGTCCAAATGGGTTTATAACTGTTTTACGGAAAGTGTATTCACCCCTTCTAATGTATGGGCCTGCCTCTCCAAAGCATTGACTTTAGGCTAACAGAACCCTTTTGCATGCTTTGGGGTTTAACAGACGTGGGTGTTATGGGAGTTACATAACAAATAAACCATGGTGTTTGCAATTTTTTTAAGCTTGTATTGCCATACACCTTAGCCTAAAACATATCGATACACAACTTTTAACTCCAAAATCCAGTAAATGAGTTTCTAATATTTTATTGTGGATTTTGTTGAATCCCCTAGAGCATCCCTCAAGTGCACCATGCCCTCCTGCTGGATGAGAACTTCTGTTCTTGAGATAAATCGGTCAGATGGTTACTCATTTTCTCACAGAGCTAAATCATTTAATGAGATGTTTACCTAATATAAAGTGCAAGACATATCACTATTCTAATTCATCATAATTATTACACAAAGAAATTAAATTAATAAAAAAAAAATAGTTAAAATTACAAACAAACTTCTAAAAAAACTAAAAAATTAATACACACATAACGTGTGTGTGTGTGTGTGTGCGTGTGTTTTACATGTTTATACTAATAAAAATAACTTAATAATTTGAAGAAAATATGGAAAAAAAATTAAAAATTGGGAGATAATTTTTGGAGCAAGATTCACAAACAAAAACTTATTTAAACTTTCATCAAACTAGTTTCAAAGTGTGGCCAGCTAAGGAATAACGACCGCCCCAAAGTGTGGCCAATTAAGTAATAAATAGCACCCCCGATTTTATTTTTGGAGCAAGATTCACAAACAAAACTTTTATAAACTATCACCAAATTAGTTTTGAAGTGTGGCCAATGAAGTAATAGCTAGCGCCTGTGAAGCACCGACACGCTAAGAAGCACGGACACGGATACGGGACACGGATACGACACGACACGGACACGGCGACACGGCAAATCCAAAAAAATTAGGACACGGACACGGCGAATAGTGTATATATATATATATGATGTAGTACTTTAAAAATTACCGAGTGTTACTATTTTTCATCAACCTCACAATGGAAAATATATACAAATCATAACTTATAACTAATAAACTATAAAAGAACAATGTTGCAGAGTTATAAAACCAAATAAAAAACAAGATATTAGAATAATAACTAGTATCATTTAATCATCATTGCAACTTTACTCCAAATACAAAAGCATAGACTGAAAGGACTATTAACATTCATGATTGTTTAACATTCAGGACTGTACTGTTAGCACTTAACATTCACAAAAACCTAAAGGCTAGTCCCAAAAAAGATACAAAAACAAGTCAGTGTACTATCATCTATTCCCATCCATCATTTGACCTAGGACTTTACCATTTACAATACCAAAAGGGTAGTCCAAAACAAAAAAAAAAAAGAACATATCAGCATTCATCTATTGTTGTTCATCATCAATTGTCTCATGAATCTCATCATCATTAACACTTCCATCATCGGTAAATAATACCGCCTCTAATTCTGGCTCATCAAGTGAGAGGTTTGCAACCTCAAGCACCCCAACATCACCAAATGAATCAAATGCATCTCCTGCAATATCCCACATCTTAGTTCGTCCTTCATTGTACTGTGGGGTTCTCCTTGACAGAAGACGGAGATTACTATGAATGAAAACCAAATCTTCAGCCCGTTGTGGCGCCATCTTGTTCCTTCTCAATTAGTGAATAAAAGAATAAGTACTCCAGTTCCTCTCACAACATGAGGAGGAAGAAGGCTGGACAAGCAACTTCAAAGCTAACTCTTGAAGCAAGGGACCATATGAACCATGTACAACCCACCAACTTTTAGGATCCATGGTATATCTATCACATATAGAATCACTCTCCCCAAATTCCCCCGAGTTTGATGAAAAATTAGCATACTCCAATTGGACTTTTGAACGCTCTTGTGGGTCACTAAAGTATTTTTTAAGGCACCTTGTTCTCTCTCTTGAGACCTCTAAATCCTTGTGTGGTGGAACTCGACTTTGGTCTTCACTAAGCCACACATCACTATAGTACCTACAATAAATAAGAGAATGCATTTAATTCATAATTTAATTTCCTTAATTCTAAACTAAGATTAAAACTTCTTTAGCTTACAAATTAATATCTAATGATTTACCTTGGATTTAGTGAATGTGCCAAGCAATGAAGCGGAGTATTGTTCTTGTTCCAACGAGCTACAAGTATCCCATGCACCACTTCATAAAAGGAAGAACTTTCACTTTGTCGCTTTCTTTCATACCTATATATTGCCATCTTCACTTTTTCAATCATTGTATCCCACATATCATAAACTAAGTGAAGACAAGGCTTATCGGTATCACAAGCCCTTAGCATGTCATAAATAGGTGAAGTAAAGGAAAGGATATAATCAATCTTTCCCCACCATTGTTCATCCAACAGCTTCTCTCTCACATAATCGGCCTTTCCTACATCATCCTCCTTATAGCAAGTCCACTTGTCACTTATGACCATTGCTTGGAGACCACCTTTTATAAGTTTAAATCTTTTCATCATCACAATAACAGAAGCAAAGCGTGTCTCTGCAACTGAAAGCAACTTCAAGCTGACAAACTCATTGAAAATAGCTAATCTCATTGAATGGTTCATGATGAAATTCTTTATTATTGTAACCTCATCAGCATAATCAAGAATCCAACCACACTCTGCATATGCAATTTCATTCTTTTCCACATTTTTTGCAGCACAAATATTTTTGAGGGCAAGATTAAGAGTATGGACCACACAAGGTGTCCAAACAATGTGAGGGAATTGCCCTTCAATTAGTTGTCCAGCAGCCTTGCAATTTGGGGCATTGTCTGTAATTACTTGGATCACATTTTGGGGGCCAACCTCATTTATGACTTCCTTCAACAAATTGGAAATGAAAAACTTGTCTTTAATTCCACCGGAACAATCAACAGCTTTCAAAAACATGGGACCTCCTTCTGTCATAGCCATAAAATTAATTAAAGGCCGCCTTTGTGGATCACTCCAACCATCACTTGCAATGCTAACACCCTTTGCCTTCCATGTACTCCTAATTGGTTGCAATAATCTATCAATATTTGCCTTTTCTTTTTGAAGTAGAGTGGTTCTCAATAGATTATAACCCGGAGGCAAATAACCTGACAGAGGATTATTTGCAGCATAGTTGTATGAACTCACATAATACGGGTTTCTTGCTAGATGAAACGGCAATCCTGCGGAATAAAACATCCTAGCAATCTCTGAGTGCAATTGTTCCCGAGCCTCATTATTAAATGCCTTCCCAATGGCACCCCCACTTGCCTTTCTTTTCTTTGGTACATAAGCCTCCTGAGTGAGACTAGTAGTACCACCCAATGATGCACTAGACGGCGGCAAAGGAACTTTTTTTGGTTTAGAATTTTTAATTCTCAATTCGGCTTCTTCAATTGCTTTTTGCATTTCTGCAATATTCTGATATGTGACTTTTGGACATATACGAATACCCATACCAGTGTTCTGCAACAAGTGGGCTTTAACTCTTGTATAAGACCCCCTGAATTCGTTATTACAAAAGTGGCATTTGAATAAAAAATTTCCTCCTCCACCACCAATTTTTTCTAATTGTGTGACATAGTTCCAAAGTGGTTTGTTATCATCTTGTTCGAATTGAGGAGTACAACTAGCAACTGATGTAGACAATGACATGTCTAATTCCCTAGACATAAAAAGAAAAGAAAAAAAATCCATACTTACAGCAGTCAGCAAAGAAAGAACAGTCAGCAAAGAAAAAATAAATTCCTATTTGCTACAGATTCATAAGTCATATGCAATAGCTGAAATTAAATCAAAGATGAAATCCAATTCATTTACAGGTCAATAAGTCACGACTCACACAAGCTAAAATTTAAAGCAAGAATAAAGACAACAGAGAAGAAGAAGAAGAAGCAGAAGAAAGAAATTAGGAAAGAAATTAAGGTCTGTAAAAAAGGAAAAATACCAGAAAAGAAGAAGACGGGTTTGTGAACTGGGGTTAGTGGGGGGGGGGGGGGGGGGGGGAGGAGAGAGAGAAAAGAAAAAGAAAGAATTTGTGGTTTTGAAAAAGGAAAACAAAAAACAAAAAATAAAAAATAGATGAAGAAGAAAGAAACTGGGGTTAGTGAAAAACGGGGGAAAAAAAAAACAAAGGAGAGAGAAAAGAAAAAGAAAGAAACTGGGGTTTTGAAAAAGGAAAACGAAAAAAAAACAAAAAAAAAAATAGATGAAGAAGAAAGAAAGAATCTGAGTTTGTGAAAAAGGAAAAAGAAAAAAAAAATGAAGAAGAAAGAAAGAAACTAGGGTTTGTGAAGAAAAAGAAAGAAAAGAGGAAGGAGGAGGAAGAAAAGAGAGGAGAGAGAGAGAGAAAGAGAGAGAGAGACTGACCTGGAGGCTGGAAGGAGTCGCTTTGATCTGCAGCAGGAAGTTGCAGAGCTTCGTCGTCAGTTTGAGAGAGCACAACCCCCGTACTTTGAATCTGATCTTGTAATAGTGTAATGACTGCCTTAAATATCTATCTCTTTTGTTTAAAATTACATATTAACCTTGAAAGTTTAAAATTATTATGTTCTGACCACATAAGTAAGTAAATAACTTTATATATTTGTACTTTAACCCAACTTTCTTTTAAAAATTATCTTTTAAACCCCCAAAAATAAGACACGTGTGTCGGACACACACCCTGGCGTGTCGGACGCGTGTCCGTGCCGTATCCGTGCCGTGTCCAATCCGTGTCCGAAAATTTTAAAAAAATAAAAAATTCCAGACACGCTTTTTGCCGTGTCCGACACGTGTCGGGCCGTGTCCGACGTGTCCGACACGGATTCTTTGCCTATTTCGGAGTGTCCGTGCTTCCTAGCCGACACGTCAAAGAGGCAGTCGGACACTTGTCAGACACGGACATGCGGATCCTGAACTTGGACACATGTCCGATACGCTCCAGAGCGTGTCCCTCCTTTTCTTTTCTGTTTTGAGCTCAGACACGTAGCCGGACACGCCATCAGACAACAGGATGGACACAGCTGTTTGGGCTTTGTTTACACAGAGATGCATAAATATGTGTGTGTATATGTGTATCCATTCAGAAAGATTCAGAAGTTGATATAAGAGATAAAAGATCTAGGTTGAGGGGATGGGGGAATTGACGGAAGAAAGAGAGAATCTGAGAGTCGATGCAGGAGATGAGTACAAAGAGTCAGAGAGGTAACAGTGCATGAAAGGAGTGAGGGGAGGAGTGAGGGGATAAGATCAATCTCATCTTGTTTTCTAATTCATTTGTTTAAAAGAATAAAAGATTGCCTTTTGGACATATTGTTATATATCTTCTATAAGAGTAACAGTGCGTGAAAGAAGGAGATTGTTTAATGTTTGGTTACCGGGATAGAGGATGCGCCATTTTGACATATTGATATATATCATCTTTTGGAGATATTTTATTGGAATATGGGATTGAGTTATCTGGTGGACAAATTTTATATGATTTACGTTTATAAATATAATTTATAAATTGATAAAAATAAATAAATTTTTATGTATAATAAAAAATTACATTATTATTTTATTAACGTATCCTTGCCCTGTCTGTGTAATATTTTTTTTTAAATTTTCGTATCGCTATATCGGTATCATGTCGTAACGGTGTCCCGTGTCCGTACTTCATAGGCTAGCGCCTAGTTTCAACATGAATTTTTTCATGAAGAATTTCTAGGAAGAAAAATGAATGCATGTGTAAAAGTACTGCTTCCTGAAGCTATTAAGAAACATAATGTTGGGGCAACGGAAGCGTGCGAATAACTAAGATCCAATGAAAGCCAACAAAACAATCACACACAAACACAAGATATACATGATTCAGCCAAAACCGGCCAACGTCCATGGATGAAAAGAGATTCTATCATGATTCGTAGAGATATTACAACAATAGAGTAACAACACCATATACATGCCTTTTTACCATGTACCACTCCACGAGCTTAATCCCTCGCTATAAGTGTCATTGGTGTTTTTCCTACTTTATCAACCCATAAACTACCTCTACCCATCAACTCCCTAATGAGACTACATCTCTCTTAATCTCATAAGTCACAACCCACAACATATGTACCTATTTATAAAGTTACAAACATAATTCCTTGTTGGACAAGGATTACAATTCCTTAGAGGCCAAGACTTGACAAATAAGAAATTATCTAATAGAATACAACTCTAAAATAGAATCCTAATTAGAATAGGAATTTGAGACACAATTTCCAACAATCTCCACCTTGGCTCAAATTCCATCCAGCCAATCGTCGCTTCCACGACATTGATCAGGACAATTCTTTTGCAACTTCAACCTTGACGATATTCCTACAAAACTCTGATTGTCCACATTATATATTGCTTGTTCAATCAAACCTCCAATCCACCATGACCACTCGAGCTCCATGCCTATCATTGGATCTTTGTTATTCGTGCTCTTCTATTGCCCCAACAAATTGGTATCAGAGCCAAAGGTGAAGGAGATCCAAAAAACACAAAAAGTGTCAACATATGCGGCAACAGGCTTCAATTGTAGGTGGAGTCAATCGGCTTGGTTACATGGCATGGAGCTCGAGTAGTCAAGGTGGAGTCAATCCGCTTGGTTACATGGCATGGAGCTCGAGTAGTCAAGGTGGAGCCTTGGAGGTTTGACTAATCGAGTAGCGTAGAGTGCGGACAATCGGAGTTTTGCAGGAGTATCGTCAAGATTGAAGCTGCAAAAGAAGTGTCCTAATCAATGCCATGGAAAGTGATGATTCGCTAAATGGAATTTGAGCCAAGGTGGAGATTGTTGGAATTTGTGTCTGTGTCAAATTCCTATTCTAATTATGTTTCTATTTTAAAGTTGTATTTTATTTGGTAATTTCTTGTTTGGCAAGTCTTGGCCTATAAGAAATTGTAATCCTTGTTCAACAAAGAATTGGGTTTGGAACTCTATAAATAGATACATAGGCTTTGGGTTGAGACTTATGAGATTGAGAGAGATGTAGTCTCATAAGGGAGTTGATGGGTAAAGGTAGTTTATGAGTTGATAAAGTAGGAAAAACACCGGTGACACTGATAGCGAGGAATTAGGCTCGTGGAGTGGTACATAGTTAAAAGACATGTATATGGTAGTGTTACTCTATTGTTGTAATATCTCTACGAACCAGAGTGGAATCTCTTCTCATCCATTAACTCTCTCATGAGATTACATCTCTCTCAATCTCATAAGTTTCAACCCAAAGCATGTATCTATTTATAGAGTTCCAAACCCAATTCCTTATTGAACAAGGATTACAATTTCTTATACGCCAAGACTTGCCAAACAAGAAATTACCAAACATAATACAACTCTAAAATAGAAACATAATTAGAATAAGAATTTGAGACACAAATTCCAACAAATTGTAGATGGAGTCGGATGTAGTTTATGGGTTAATAGAGTACCAACACCACGTGCATGTCTTTTTTACCATGTACCACTCCACAAGCCTATCTCCTCACTAACAGTGTCGCAGGTGTTTTTCCTACTCTATCAACTCATAAACTACATCTGCGCATCAACTCCCTCATAAGACTACATCTCTCTCAATCTCATAAGTCTTATCCCAAAGCCTATCTATCTATTTATAGAGTTCCATAGCCAATTCCTTGTTGGACAAGGATTACAATTTCTTAGAGGCCAAGACTTGTCAAACAAGAAATTACCTAACAGAATACAACTCTAAAATCGAATCCTAATTAGAATAGGAATTTGAGACACAATTTCTAACAAACTCCACCTTGGCTCAAATTCCATCCAGCAAATCATCGCTTTCCATGGCATTGATAAGGACAATTCTTTTGCAGCTTCAATCTTGACGAGACTTCTGCAAAACTCCGATTGTCCACACTATATGTTACTCGATCAGTCAAACCTCCAAGGCTCCACCTTGACTACTCGAGCTCCATGCCATGTAACCAAGCCGATTGACTCCACCTACAATTGAGGCCTGTTACAGCACATGTTGAGACTTCTTGTGTTTTTTGGATCTCTTTCACTTTTGGCTATGATACCAATTTGTTGGGGCAGCGAAAGCATGCGAATAACTAAGATCCAATGAAAGCCAACAAAGCAATCACACACACACACAAGATATACATGATTCAGCCAAAATCGGCCTACGTCCATGGATGAGAAGATATTCCACAATGATTCGTATAGATATTATAACAATAGAGTAACAACACCATATACATGCCTTTTTACCATGTACCACTCCACGAGCTTAATCCCTCACTATTAGTGTCACTGGTGTTTTTCCTACTTTATCAACCCATAAACTACCTCTACATATCAACTCCCTCATGAGACTACATCTCTCTCAATCTCATAAGTCTCAACCCACAACATATGTACCTATTTATAAAGTTACAAACATAATTCCTTGTTGGACTTTACAAACATAATTCCTTGTTGGACAAGGATTACAATTCCTTAGAGGCCAAGACTTGCCAAATAAGAATTTACCCAATAGAATACAACTCTAAAATAAAATCCTAATTAGAATAGGAATTTGAGACATAATTTCCAACAATCTCCACCTTGGCTTAAATTCCATCCAGCCAATCATTGCTTCCACGACATTGATCAGGACAATTCTTTTGCAGCTTCAATCTTTGACGATATTCCTACAAAACTCCGATTGTCCACATTATATATTGCTCGATCAGTCAAACCTCCAAGGCTCCACCTTGACCACTTGAGCTCCATACCATGTAACCAAGCCGATTGACTCCACCTACAATTGAAGCCTATTGCAGCACATGTTGAGACGTCTTGTGTTTTCTGGATCTCTTTCACCTTTGGCTCTGATACCAATTTGTTGGGGCAGTGGAAGCTTGCAAATAACTAAGATCCAATGAAAGCCAACAAAGCAATCACACACATACACAAGATATACATGGTTCAGCCAAAACCGACCTACGTCCATGGATAAGAAGAGATTCCACTATGATTTGTAGAAATATTACAACAATAGAGTACCAACGCCACATACATGTCTTTTTACCATGTACCACTCCACAAGCCTATCTCCTCGCTAACAGTGTCACCAATGTTTTTTCTACTCTATCAACCCATAAACCACATCTGCGCATCAACTCCCTCGTGATACTACATCTTTCTCAATCACATAAGTCTCAACCCAAAGCCTATGTGTCTAGTTATAGAGTTTCAAACCCAATTCCTTGTTGGACAAGGATTACAATTTCTTAGAGGCCGAGACTTGCCAAATAAGAAATTACCTAACAGAATACAACTTCAATTGTCCACATTATATGTTGTTCGATCAATCAAACCTCCAAGGAATTTGAGACACAAATCCCAACACATAATAAAATTCCATCAAGCTCAATGATATTTGCACCCCAAAAGTTTTTCCTAGAACTTCCCCTGGTTGTAAAAAAACATAGCCTTCGGGGGGCACCTTTGTCTAGAATGAGGAGTGCTACTACTGCTTGCATTAAGGTCTGGATCCAACTGCTATTCATAATCTCTACTCCTATATATATTTTACAAGCAGCTTCATTTGGTCATGTTTACCTCCCTAGGCACACCACGTGTCTATATACATATAAAATTAATATCATTGCTGCTCGTTGTATAATAAATCAACCAAAAGCTCAAAGTTACATGAAAAAATATGGACTTAAACGGAGCTGCCAACTATTTTAAAAGCTATTGAAAAGTGTCTTAAAAATCAAGCTTGAAAGTGGCTACACCCCAGAGCAAAAAGAAAATATTAGACAGTTAAAATGAATGCACTAGTGAATAACAATGCACATTGACAAACCATAATCTGCCACTGTGACAGGACTTTTATCTGATTTTGATTGGACATCTGCTTGCAACAATGCCTTTTGCACCTTCTGGAGAAGACAAAGCAACCATACATCAGATCAGCTTCATTCTATAAAATTTTTTTTTTTTTAAAAAAAAAAAAAAAAAAAATGAGGCCAAACTGCTGCCAACACGAACATGTGCACATGTGCAAAAGAAAGTAAATTACTCGTGTGAAGTAAAGTTGCTAAATCGGTATCCATATTGTGAATCAATATACTAAATTTTCAAACAGAGAATCTTGGATATATCATAAATCATAGAATATGTCAACAATTAAAAATAGACAGAAAATAGTAGGTGGACATATGACAATCAAAATTATACTGTAAAGATGTAAGATACAATAAAATATCGCTTTACTAATGACTTAATGGATAAGGCGTTCGCCAGATTCGGTATCATTCTCTTCAATATATATATATATTGTATTTGTCCAAAATTTGCATTAGCATCGTTAACTTTTTTTTTACAAGAAAATCAAAGGAGACCCATGATAAGGTGGTTTATGCTCTTATCATACTCAAATGCAACTCTATAAATCAGCAGAAACGCAGGACTGTCGCACATACCAATCAATATATTCACCTCCCAGGACGGTCTATTAATGCATCAAAAGGTATTGCGAACAAATTAAATAAAGGCATGAAAAGAACAGAATTCACAGACTGGCCAATGAAAATGTATTGTGGAGACAGGCCTTAAAAACAAAGAATCTCCTAGAGTATCTAACTGTTGAAACATTAAAAATACAAGATCAATCGAAGAACTTACAGCGGATTGTTTTAGTTTGTCAGTTCTTTTAAATTTAAATAGAAATAAACAAATTAAGATAACTTTAAACAGGTATAATGGCCAATTGGATAAAAATAAAACTAATTCCATAGCATCGAACATCTAAATAGAGCTGGAAAACAGGAGATATATACAAAAATGACTTTGTTTCCACTTATACTGGACTTCAAATGCCCTCATTTCTAGTAAACCTTAAAGGTCCAAAGGTGGGGATTGTCATTTACACATCTAGATGAGTAGGAGAGATAAAAAAGGAAAAGATAGTGTTGGTTATTAGAGAAAAGAAAGGAAAGGAGATGATAGTGTTTGGATAACTAAAGAGTAGAAAGAAAGGAAAGGATGTGGTGACTGTCATTTTAGTTGGAAAAAAAAAATGGAGGAAAAAGAAAGGAAATGATTATTTTATTTTTGTAAGTGGTAAGGGCAAATAGAAATTCATTTGATTTCTATTTTTTTCTTCTATTTTTTTTTTTTTTTTTTAAAAAAAAAAAAAAAAAAAGGACAAAATCCTATGCTTTTCTTCAAAATCCTCCTACTTTAGGAGGAGCCAACACACTATCTAAATGGTTAGCTACCCTTCCTTCTCCCTCCTAATCCTTTCCATTTCCAATTTCAAAACAACAAAAAATAAGCTCTTCTTCTCGTTTCCTCTCCTTTCCCTCCAGCTTGTTCAATCTAAATACACTGAATTTTTAAAATTGTTCCCAGACCTTAATTATCTCCTCTTCCTTTTCCTTCACCTCTTCTATTGGTCATAAAATTAATTGTGTGAGGTCTTTATTCGGCTGCTAATACTAAAAATGTTCTAATCACTTTTTATTTTAAATCCGATCGATTATATATCGCTTTCAATGAAATGTGCAACTAGAGCCAGGTGATAACTCTGACCTTTACACCAAATGGGCAATACCCCAGCTGGTACAAACTATACAAGCCCATCCTCCCCAAAGGGGAGATCGGGGGTTCAAGCCTCAGTGGAGGCATGGGTGTGTGTGTGATTGCGTAACCTTCCAAAAGAAAAACTCTGGCCTTTACATTGATTGTGGTTGAAACCGCCATATTAATGTGACCATCAATATCTCTCTTTCCCAACAATGTATCAGTTACAACCAAATTCATATCGTTTTCTCTGCTTTCTAGTTACTGATGATAGTCTTGGTGTGCACCTTGGTAATGAAGGCGGGTTGGCAAAGAGACCATAAAAAGTTGGTGGAGTTACGTGAGTGTAAAATGACCCAAATTACTCCAGTATTTAAAGGCTTACAAGCAATGATTGGTGTGAATATTTTGAAAAATGGGAAAGCATAATCCTCCTCTTGAAGGTGAGGGGATCAGTTTTATCTATTCATAAATGGACATATATTCAAGGGCAGATCCAAAGGGGGGGCTAAGGGGGCTTGAGCAACCCCCCCAAAAAAAAAAAAATTTCACTATAGCCCAGTCCAAAAAATAATAATAATAATTAGTAGTACTAGCCCACCCCAGAATGTATTAGCCCCCCCCCCCCCCCCCCCCCCCCAAAAAAAAGAATATACCTCTGGGTCCGCCATTGCATATATTTAAAGTAAACACCGCATTTATCTATTATGTTTTTCCATAAATAAACACACATATACATGTACGTAAACACACTTGTATCTATTATATATGTGTGTTATTGTATATGTGTACATTAGACATGTGTATATGTAAGTAATGTATGTGTGTGTATATATAGATATATATATATTAAAATGAGTTTATTTATTCAAATACTTTTCAAAAGCAGGCAGTTTACTGCCCAGCCCGAAAACCTGATGTTGGGCTCATTCAATGAATTAGCCAAGTCTCAAGAGCAAGACCTAAGCCCAACTCTAAGGGTTCTTAATTGGAGAGTCCTTAGGCTTACAAATCAATTGTACACCCCTATCTGATACCTACCCCATAACACCCATTATAGTGTGAAGAGACCTAGAGGGGGGTGGTCATGAGACATGTATTATACTATTATCATGACATCTGATAAGTGCAAGGACCAGAACCCGAGACGTTGATAAAGAGTCGCGCAAGGTCCATGATTTAGACCTAGAGGGGGGTGAATAGACATTCGAGGATGAATTACTAATTTTAACATTTATTTAAAAATTTAAACCACCTAACTACCTTTAACAGCAATATAAATCTAAAACATAGCAGGGCATAAAAATCATCAATCAAAAGCCATGATAAGCAAATAAAAATTAAAGCAACGGGAAACAGATTTTAACATAAAAACTCCAAGGGAAAAAACCGCAAGTTCTAGCCCAAGCAAACCAAAATCCACTATGTGAGAAAGAGAGTACAAATTATGTTCACAGACTCTACCCCAAATATTCCCTAGTTACCTCATGACACAGAAGGCTCCAAACTTTACTCTAAAAGTCTCCACGCAGTCCTTCAGCTCGTCAACATCTGGTCCTCACGATCTGCTTCTCTACTGATTTTGATCTCAGCCACAAGTCGTCCAGACATCAATCTTTTTTGTGTATTGTGTTGAACTCTTTGTTGAAGTACGTAACAACAGTTGTCAACACTTGAATTCACACTCACCAATACTAGAATAATGAATGCAAACAGAAATGAATGCAAACAGAAAAACTAAGATGTACTCTAAAACCCTGAAAAATATGGTCGGTCTCTATTTGTATTCTCAGTGTTTATTATTTTCCCCTAATACTATATATATAAATAGATATAAGCAACATAGTAAATAGAGAGAATAGGGTTTGTAGAGTTTAAAACCAACTTGTAAATAAATTTTCCGAAAAGATCATTCAATCAAAATTACGTCCATCAATCAACTACTCCAGAAGCCATCGATCAAACCCTCAATAGATTGAAGTCTACTGCAGTTCAATGCTTAGAAAATTTTCAAATTGCGGAAGTTCCCAAAATTCTTTTGATGCATAATTTAAGAAATTTAGGGAATTAAATCAAATAACAAATAGAAACTCTAATTATGCATGCATTAACCCTAATTTGGTGAGTGAAACCATGCCTTTATGCCCCCGACGATGAAGAAAATTGCAATACCATTGAATGTACCATGAACTTCTTCTTTTTTCCGACCTTGGGAGGTAATAACTAACACTAACTATTGACAAATTACAAACTAAGCTAGAAAATAAAAACAAAAGTTAGAGACTCTACTTTTGTCCTACAAAATATGCCAACTTAAGTCTATTGCCCTAACAACATCTAAAAGGAAGGGATCAAATCATTGTTCCATGAAAATAGCTACCTAGTGAACAGATGAACCATTAGGCCCTTCGCCTATAACAGCCATACAAAATGAAACAAGACTGCTTGTCTAATACGAAAAATATCTCCTTCCAATATAAATAATTAAAGATCCACAGTTAATTTGTTTGTCAATTTTCCATTTAGAGGAATAATTTGTAAATCACAGAAAATGGAGAAACAATACAGGTGCATTCGGTACAGAGAATTGGGATTAGTCCTTGAACTTCTTAATCAAAAGACTACCTTCTTAGATTCCAAATTATGCGGAGCTTAGAATTCACAGTTTGCAAGGCTATTTAAGATCAAAATATAGGATTAGAATTCACCAGTTTTTTAATTAATATTGTACAGTCTGAGATTAACAAGATGGTTGAGGAGGTGCTTATGGCTAGGATGGGATGCTAAAAGTGGTAGGTAGTGGTGGAGTGTTGACACAATGACATCATGGTGGTGGATGAGGTAGTGAGGGTGTTGCTATGGGTATCTGTATGGTGATTGCAATAATTCAAATAGTTATCGGTAATGTAGGTGGTGTGAGTCATGGGACAATGATCACAGCAATAGAGATGTTTGATGTGATTGAAGATTATCTATTTTCAATGATGAAGCGATAAGGGAGGGTGACCAACCTGTGGCAACAATGGTGAAGAGGCTTCTGTGGTGGTGCAATTAAACATGTCGTGGTGGGTCAATGATGGTAGCAACAACATTGATGGTGCAATGGTAGTCACGACAATGTTCTTTTTGTAAGTGGGATTTACAAATAGCAACCCCTCCTTTGAAATTTGAATGTTTCTTTTTGTAATTACAACTTACATCTTGAACTTGGTTGGAACTCAAAACCCAATTTGAGGTTTGCATCCTGAACACAACCATACTAGATAAATTTTTCCTACCAAAATCCTTGAACCACATGCAACCTATCTAATATAAGGAAAAGTGGGATATAAACCAAGTTGACAAATCATTGGTCAAAGAAAAAATTGAAGGTCTATATTTCTAACTAAAAAAATAAAAAACAAGTATTAACCTGTTATTAAGCATATTTGATAATAACTTATGGATAATTATATTTATCTAAGAAATGTTGTTCTAGAAACCTTGAATAATTCCAAATTCACTGTCTTTCCAACAAAACAGATTTTGATTCTACAATTCTCATCCGGGACATCATCCAAGACAAGTTGGGATCTAACTAGCACCTCTATTAGCTTATCATTTGTATTGCCTTTTTTTATTTTTCGCACTTTTACATGGTTTCCCTGAATCTAGAAAGAAACCGGGAGAAAAACAAAACAAAAAAATAAAATAAATACTCAAAGCCATCACCATTTTCAGTCCCTATAAAGCAAAGTTGCAAAGAGGCTTGAACAAATATTTATACATACCCACATAAAAATAAACAAATAAATTAGAACTGTCGGTTCCCAACCATTCTTGGATCTTAATGTTTTAGTTAAAATCCACAGCGCCCTAAAAGATTTCTGCAACTCAGCTTCAAAATCTCTCCATTGCCAAAAGGACAAAAAGTAGCCCTCAATTTTTCAGAAATGCGAAAATCCTTTTAATTTTACAGTCCTAACATTAAGATCGCAACCTTTCTCAGAAACCTCAAAGGAAGAAAATCTCAAATTGGCAATTTCACAATATGGGTTTTGCTCAAGTAGATATTAAGCTTCTGGGTTTTTCTATATTCCAATTATACAGTCCTATTTGTCAAAAATCAGATAGAATGTGAAGAATGCATGCAAAATACATAGAACATGTATATAATATATATATAAGTGGAGAGAGAGAGAGAGAGAGGTAGTGCCTGGCAGAGACGAGTGGCAAGAGAAGCTGCTTTCTTGGCAGCATCGAGTTCCTTGTGGTAAGACATTGAAGCAGCTCCTACTACTGGAGATGTTCTGAGGAGAAGACGAAAAGGGGGTTTTGATAATTTGGGTTTTACAGGGAACGAAAAGAGTACACGTTGTGTGAAGGAATTCAGGGGCGATATAGTAACAGCCATTTCTCTATGAAGGAATTTATAGACCCTGATAATATTGTACCTGCCATTATTGTCTCTCTCTCTCTCTCTCTCTCTCTCTTCGGAATTGGGGAATCACGTGTCTTTAAATTATGCCCCAAAATAGTGAAAATTTTCTCCCTACTTTCAATTACCAGCAGTACTTTTGTGAGCCTAGTTACTTTAGGAAATTCACTTCTAAGACCGTTTTTATCCTTTTCCGAAAGTACCGTTTTTATCCTTTTCCGAAAGTCCGTTTCTATCCTATTTAAGTCCGTTTCTATTAGGATTCATTCCAATTAACGGTTAAGAATTGATGCTTAAGAACTATAGAAAGTGTTCAAAACTCTCCATATTTTTTACTATCTCCTTTCAATTCATCAATTTTTACAAATTCGTCAATATTCTAAAATATTTCATCTTTTTAAAACACTTCATAATTTGTTATTATTTATAGTTTTTATATTTATTGAAATAAAAACATACAAGACATAGGATTATTTATATATATATTTTAATATTTTAGAATATTGACGAATTTGTAAAAATTGATGAATTGAAAGGAGATAGTAAAATATATATATATATATATATATATATATATATATTGTATCCCAGAATGTTTTTTTTTTCCCAAATTGGTTTTATGCTGAATTTTTAAATATTTTTTAAACAACAAAAGCAAATTATATTTATACTTCCAAACAAGTATTTTTTACCATATTTTACTTACTATGTTTGTGAATTTGATTGGGATAGAAGCATTGTAGAATCAAACGTTTTTTTATTCAGAAAGTTAAAAATATATATTTTTAGAAAAAGAACCATTTTCGAAATCCGGGTTCAAAGCGGAAATGGTTATTCTTAAAATATAATTTTAACCTTCTGAAAAAAAAAATGTTTCAACTAAATTCATCTGAAGTATTGAAAAATGATTCGGCAAGCTTGAATGAAAATAGGGTATACTAACCCCAGGGGTGCCAGAGTTGGTGAGAGGGGGAGTCTCTAAGTGCTAGACAATCATAACTAGCACTTGGGTGTGGGTTCGATTCTCCCCCAACTTTATAAGTTCCTGACTTAAAATGCTACTTGCACTGAGGGTCGGGGTGAGTAGCCGAGGGTTTACCTGATAGTTATAAATCCAAACGACAGATAGTTACGAGGGTTCCCACGTCTTCCAAAAAAAAAAAAAAAATAGCGTATATTATTAACTACATTTAACCTAATTAACCCTTGAAAGGGCAAAATAGAGCCAAAATCACTCTAAGGCCCAAATAGGGCATAAGGGTCATCAGGCCCAAATGCCTTGTGGATAATAATAGACTAGACCGGCCCATCAACTTATGAATTTGCAAGTCATATTTCCAAAGTACGATAAAGGGTAAAGGGTACGCATACAAATAGGAAAGAAAGAGGTAGAGTGTTTCGTGCAAGAGAAATGACTTTCCATCAATAGAAAGATATTTTCTTACATTTACATCTGGCGCCATCTGTTTGAACCAATAGGAAGATCCATCGATTTCCACGTTGAACTAAGACTTAGCTCCGATCAAGAACAATGATTGGAGAAGGAAGCTCGCATCAACAGAACGAGAACGAACGAACCAGACATGAATAGCTGATGCAAATCATTGAGACCCTGCGACGAGAGAACATTAGACTCAATCAATGATAGAGTGAAGAGAAGCGACACCACTCCCTCATTCACTAATAGAGGTTGAGAGGGTGGAGGTGGATAATGTCAACCATCTGGTGGACCGAACAAGATATGTTCATGTACATCCGCGGCGTAGGAAAGCAGAACCGGAGAAGGAAGAGGAACGCATAAAAGCTCATCCTCCAACGCCACGGGAGTTAACTATAGACCAAATGTTCGACGAAATGTACCAGTCAAACCTAAGCACTCACGTTCAAAGGGCCACTGAGAAACAACGGTGGGATCTAAAGGCTCCCTCAATGAATAACGAAGCTACCCGGATATCAGCCCGAACGGTTGAGTCACCCTTTACAGATTGAAAAGATCCTCCGATACCCAAATCCAAAGAAGTTCACCATGCCAATATTCACTCTATTTGATGGAACTAAGGATCCTACCAAGCATGTGTATCACGTCTAGCTGAAAATGGCCCTGGATATTGAATGTGATACTCCTGAATTTCCACGTGTAGGTTGGCCAGGCCCACACCTGAAAACCCGGGGATATAAAAAACAATTAAGTAATAAATGAACGATCTCTAATCTGCATGAACAACTCTAAGACTGGTACTACCAAGGACCTGAAAAATAAATAGTGGGTCAGACCCACAAACAAGTTTCCTCTACTATGACCCAATCAGAGAACCGACAATTAATACATCCTTAGCTAAACTCATGCAATACCTACATAGTCGATACATATATATATACGCACTAAGACTCTCACTGGACAATATGGCAGTCTCAACCAAATAATAGGTATTTCATGGAAAATCGCACACAAGATGGTCCACAATCCCCTTCTACCAAGGTACATACATCTCTTATATCCAGTTACCCATCTAAACCAGCAATATACACCTTAGTCATAACTATTGATCCTAAGACCTCAAGCTCGTATCATGGCTCATATATAGATATATATAAAATACATCATCAATAAACAGAGCCATATCTAACAATGACACGAGTAAAGTGTCTTGACTTATTAGCCAACCCACCTACAAATCAAATCGTCAAAACCATATCTAATAATGGCATACAAAATCGAGGAACCTATCTCATTAGCTATCTTAATAATCTCATCACATAGAAGAATAAATCTCATTATAGCTATATATAATAATGGCACCACAATTATAACCCATAATAGTCGAATCTAAAACAATAAATATGATAAAACATTATTAAAACCTAATACCATTTACTCATATTTAACAATGGTAAAACAAATTACTACAACCATGTATCATGCTCGTAAATCATAAGTATATCAACAACAATGATTATAATAACGAATCCAACAATTACATTTAATTACACAAATTAAATATTATGAAAGATTAAATTGTAGTTATTAATTAATTCAATCATTCCCATCCAATATCAAAAGATAAGGGTCTATTACACATTTATATATTTTAGACCTATGCCACTGTTCCCAATACTTATAAACATGTTCGGGATCATTTATACAAAAACTGGGATCATTCAGAACACTTTTGAAGAAAATAGACAACGAAAATACACAAGATCCAATAATTTAAAACAAGTTTCATACATTAAATCAAAAAACTTTTCAATTTGAAGAACAAATACATATAAACATGAAAACATTTAATTTCAATTAATGTATATCAATTAATAGTCCAATTAATTCTCTGATTTAAACCCTAAAGTCTAGCATGTGATGGAGAGACTATAGATTCAAAGAGGAAGAGATATATAAAGAACTTGCCATATGATTTTCGGATTGAAAATCAACTATACAAACTCTCCGGTCTTCTTCTCCAATTCTGGCAAACTTCAAGCTATCTCCGGTCACCTTCTTCTTCCTCTTCTCTCTCTCTCTTTCTCTTTCTAGGTCGTTGCGTCTCTTTGTAACTCACGTATATACAAAAACCCTCTTCTTTTGACTACTATATATATATATATACACACACTAACCCACAAATCAATCATAACCTAAGTCTAACTAAAATAATAGTAATAAATCTCAACACGTATAATTTACCAAATTAATATCTACTTGATATATATATATATATATATATATATATATATATATATAAATTAACATACACACACATATATATATATGTATATATATATACCTATTCATGGGTCATAATTCTGTATGACTTATCTAGGCCTCCTCCAATTACCCAAACCCATTTCTTTGGGTCAAATAACTCCAAACCCAAACCATGATTAATTAAAATAAAATAAACTAATTAATTAAACAAGCAAATTGCACATAAACAAATAATGAAAAGTAAAACATATTAAATAATTTAAAATAACCTAATTAACCAAATTCATCAAATAATCAACAATCAGCCAAATAAAACAATTAAAATAATAAATTAAATGCTCTAAAAATTAAGGTATTACCATTCCCCCCACCCCCCCCCCCCCAACAAAAGAATTCCGTCCCCAGAATTTACCACATACCTTATTTAAAAAATTTCAAAAATTTTGAATAGATTTCATCTTCTCGTTCGTATGTGCACTCGGCCTCATTATAATGGCTCCACTGAACACACACAAAAGAAATAACTTTGGTGCAAAACACCTGATTCCTACAATCAAGGATATGACATTGTGGCTCTACATATGTCGCATCCGCCTGCAATTCTATCTCACCAACATTTATATGCTGATAACGATCCTCATCTCGCAAAAATTTTTGTAACATAGAAACATAGAAAACATTGTGGACACGATGTAAATGGTCCAGAAGTGATAATCGATAAGCTATAGCTCATACATGATCCGTAATCAAGAACTATGCATGAAAGTTTTACATTAGTGTAGTGGAAGTTTTACATTAGAAAGAACGGGAGGAGCGAGAGGCGCAACAAGAACTGTTCATGAATACATGGTGGTGATCATTTGTTGTACTCTATGAGTATGTCCCCATCGGTGAGGATCTGAGGAAAAAGCCAAAACTCACAGACCATAACAAATGAAACTCGCTGTCGTCCAAGCCCTCTGCCATCTAAAACGCCTACGGATATAATTGATTCAATATACCAAATAGGTGGTGATGGGGGCTTCAACTACTCTCCCTGAGATGGTTGTTGCTTATGGTTTAACATTTAATTATAGTTCTTCTATGTATTTGCTGGGTTTGCAATCTTAGGTCCCTACCAAAGCCAAAAAAAAAAAAAAAATAGAAGTGAGAACACAAACTCTTAGAAAGAGAAAAAAAGATGTGCAAGAGTTTGTACTTCTTGAGAGAAGAAGAGGGGAGGCAAGTGAGTGAGGGAGTGTTTATATTATAATTTTAACGGTAATTTGGTAAATTTCATAAAGTATTTAAGGGTAATTTGATCTCCATGTATTAATGAATAAAGAAAATTGACATATTTGTAATTACTTTTGCC